GTTCCATGTAGCAACATAAGGAATAAAGTCCAGTGATTGTTAGTGATTGCAGCAGTGCCCCTGCTCTGGAGATGTTCAGCTACAGTACACCACTCCCACCACAGCAGGAAGAGTGCAGCACCTCTGGTACAAGAACATGGGTCTGGTTAAAGATCTGTACATGCTGAAAAGTGCAGCACCTAGCCCTGTGTGGGACCTCCCACGGGCAGTGCCCAGGGAGGGCAGGGATAACTGAGACCCCCACACAGGCATAATTAGATCATGGATTTTGTAAAGGGGGTGCAGGAGCAGAAACTGGTGGTTAAAGGGTGGCTGTTTCTCCATGCTCCTAGCCTCCCCTGGCTAGCTGGGGCAGACAGTCCATGATGCAGGAGCTATAGCCAGGAACTTTTTTTTTTTAATTCCTGAATCAGGGCAAATCCTTCCTCCCCCAACCCCTCACTGGCTTGCAGCACCCCTTCCCTTCCCCTTCATGATCGCCCTCCATTTCCTGACCCCTCTCACCCACCACTGCTACTGTCCCTGGCTGACCTGGGGACAGGGGAGCTCCAGAGCCACTCCTGTCCTGTTCAGCTGGGCTGTGCAGGGACCTGGGCTCAGCCACAATAATTATGGTGGTGGACAGGCTCCCCCTTCCTGAGCCTGCTCCTGGGCTGGTAGGGAGCCTGACAGGAAAAGGGAAGCCACCTGCTGCTGTCCCCAGCACTCCACACAGATTGACAGGAGCGAACAGCTCGTCCGCCCACCCCAATTCAGACAGGTACAGGAGCAGTGGGCAGTTAAGGGAGAGGAAGGAAGGGGACAAAGGGGATGGGAGGGAGGGAATTCTTACCTGCTTTGGAGATGTAAAGCCCCTGATTGCTGATCCCACACTGTGGTCTGGAAGAGAGGTGCTACTGCACGCACTCTGGAATTGCTCCTGCAGAAGGAAGATATGCTGGGAAGCATGACATTGCACAGACTCTTCACAAAGACCAGCAAAAGGATTACTCACTTCTTGACTCCACATGAACACCAGATGCCAAATTTGGGTGCTGGGGAAAGAATATGTTCCTCTATACCACTATCCATCCAGTAGTTCTAAGTGCTAGCGAAGATTGAGGTACCATGCACAAATCCAGTGAGCCACTAGCTTGTCTTCAATGCTCTTTTGTCAGAAGAGCAAAGGGCCCTGGCCCTCACTGACTCCAAGCACCTGAGAATGTCACCCTCAGCAGTTCGGATGTATCCATCTATTTCCACTGCGTAACCCTCCTTTCTCTGTATTTCTTCATAATTCAGAGATGATCAAAGGAATCTTGCTATAGCTTTTCACACACATCTACAAGCCCC